GTGGAATGTACTTGAGGAGATGGGGAGGGGTGTGGGGGGAGATGGGGAGGGGTGTGGGAGAGAAGAGGGGTGTGGAGGAGATGAGGGGTGTGGGGGAGGTGAGGGAGAGAGGCTTGCTCACCGGGCTCCTGAGTATTTATTTATCCCTTCCTTCCAGGATGGGGGATACACAGGTTGAGATGGACCCCAACAAAACCCCTTGTCTAAACAGGGGTCAGGGCCCTGAGCTCCCCCATGGTCCTCCCTGCAGCCCACCTCCTCACCACCCTCACCTGGTAGACCAGCAGGTCCTGGGAAAGTCCTTGCTCCCAGACCATTTCTGCTCCTGAACCCTAAATGGACAAAAGGGGCAATGAGCCCCAGGGTAGGAAGGTTTGGGGCAGGAAGAACCTGATAGACACAGGTAGGACCAAGACAGGATGGCCAGGATCTCTGGCTTCTGAACTTTCAGGACCCCTCCCAGGCTTGGAGAGAGACAGCTAGAAGCTGAACCCCCTGCCTTCTCCCTGGACCCCTCTATCTTGCTACCTGCTTCCCCAGCTCCAAAGTCCTGGCCAGATGTTCTCACCTGGCTGAGCCTAAGTCCCTCCTCTCCCAGGGGTGGGGGTGGAGGTGGGGAGACAGCCACAGGGAGAGGGCAGGGCTGGGACTTCAGGATAAGAGAGGGGACAGACAGGGGCAGGTATTGGACAGGACTCACCTGGTTTTGGGGGCTTCACACCCACTCCAAAGCCTGGAGAGAGAGATGGGGTAGGGGAAGGGACCCAATCATCTAGCTCCCCTCCAGAGTCCCATTACCATTTTGGGGTGGGGTGTAAGGGGTGGGGGTTCCATCTGAGGAGGATCTGAAGCAGGAGTACTCTCATCCTCTTTTCTAGACCAAACTAGACATCCAAAATTCTGTCTCCTCCCCACCTCCATTGGCTCAGCACTCTGCCCCCTCCTTGACCTGGAGACCTTGGACAAGGGCATCCTGCTGGCTCAGGTACCCATGTCCTTCACACATCCATCCCCTCTCACTTTCCTTCCTCCCAGCCCCTCACCTGGTGGAGTGGCACCTGGCTGATGAGAGAAGATGCCTGCTCCCTTCCCATTCCCAAATCCTGGGGAGACAGAGCAGGATGGATGGGATAAGGAGGGGTGCGTGGGGGAGCCAGGATATAGAAATGGGAGGAGACAGGTCAGGGTCATGTTGCTTACCTGTCTTTTGGGGCTTCATACCCCCTCCAATGCCTGAGAAAGACAGAAAGCAGGTGAGGGCCTCAGAGCCCCCAACACAGGGTTCCCCTGAGAATCCCAGTCCCCATACTCCCACCCTGATCCCAGCTCTGCCTGCTGCAAAGCCATTCTGAGCTGGGGGTCCTGAGGAGAGAGTGAGGGATGAACTGGAAAGTCTGGGGTCTCTGTCCAGATGGGGATGAGGGACCCTTGAGCTCATCTCTTCAAAAGCCTCCCTAGTCCCTCACCTCCAGCCCCCCCACTGTTCACCAACCCTGCCCTTGGGGCATAGAAAACAGGGAAGAGATGATACTCAGACACTGGGACCCTCCCAGAGCTCACCTCTCTTACCTGGCTGGGCGCCCAGCCCATACCCATTACCAAATCCTGGGGGAACATATTGAAGTGAGGGGTGTGAGGGAAAGTTGGGGCAGGACTCAACTGGCTTCTAACGTTTAACAGTACTTCAGAAAAGGAAAATGGTAAGGGACCCTGGACCTCTCCCCCAGGCTCTCCCCCAACCCCCCCCTTTGTCTATCCCATCACCAAGCTGAGCTGTGGGGTTTATGGGGAGTTCTGGCCAAGCTAGTTCATTTCAGTGAGTGCCTGGCCTGCCATGTGGGGGCCTTTGCACTCTACCGCCCTTCATCCTTTCTTTCCCCCTCCTCCTCTCCAGCTCAGGAGCTAGGTTAATTGGGACCCTGATCTGCAGGGATAGGAGATAATTTGGGGGATGCGTTTCTAGTTAGGACTGTGTAAGCATGAGCTGTGAGGATGGGACGGGGAGCAGGCAGGTAAATGCAGGAGATCTGCTGGGAGGGGATCACAAAGGCCCCTCCATCTGGGCAGGTGGATGTGAAATGCAAGCTCCCTTCCCAGGCCTGAGCCCCCAGTGCTCAGGCCCCACTTGCTGGAGACAGCAAGCCCCTGCCCCTTCCTTTGGGGTCCCCATCTGTGCCCAACCCTTACCTGCTCCCAGGTCCCTGGGGGTGCCATAACCCATGGAGGAATGAGAAGTGAACATGGGGGACAGGAGGGATGCCACTTGGAGGACACAGCTCTGGTCCCTTCCCACACTTTATTTCAACTTTACCTGATCGGTAGCCATTCAGACTCCCCAAGCCTGTGGGGTGAGAGAGAAACGTGGTGACTCAGTTGGATGCAAAGATCTAGACATGCCCTCTTCTCAGTTTCCCTGATAGTCATTGGAGGGGCGGGAGGGAGACAACAGCCTGCGTGCAGGAGCAGCCAGTCCTCAGACCTGGAGGATGGTGTCCATGCCAGGCCTTTTAGAGCTGGGGGCACACTGCTTTCATCTCTTCTTCAACCAAGATGGCTCAGGCTCCTGTTCCAGCCTACAGGTCTCATTGTACTGAGCCCTCACCCCTAATCTTTCTCTCCTTCAAAGCTTCAGGGAAACAGCACTTCCCCCTTTAGGATCCAAGGGGACTCAACTCCAGCCTCCTACAGCCCTCCTTGTCCCCTCCACAGGGAGCCTCCCTATGCCCCCCTGTTTTCCTGTGATGCTGCTCTGATTGGGAGTGAGAGTGGGGCCCTGTGTTCTCTGAGCCCCTATCTGGAGTCCATAGCCGGGGAATCACCAGAGCCCCAGGGGGCAGAATCAGGCTCCTGGGAAACCTGACTGCAGGATTGAGGGACACTCACCTTTCCCTAGACTGGGTGTCAGTAGAGGCAGCCCTAGGGAAGGAAAGAAGTGTGGACTCAGGGCTGGAGACCCCAGAGACTGAGAAGCAGTTTTCCCTCCACACTCACAGGTCAAAAACCCAGACAGAGTCTTCACAGAGTCGGTTTCTCCACCCACAGGATGTGCATAGCTGTCCCTCACTGTTCTCCCTCTGAGCGCTCAGTGGATTCGAACTACTGACCTTTTAGTTAGCAGCTCTATGTTTAAACCACTGGTCCACCAGGGCTCCTCCTCATAACCGCACTATCCCCCACTCAGTCAGGCTTCACACCCTGATTCCTTCCTCTCTCTGATGATACCCTCTAAGAGACCCCAGTGTCCAAGGCTCCAGGCCCGCTGCCATACCGCCTTGCAGAGTCTCAGCTGTCAGGCACAGCAGGACCAGGGCAGCAGGGATGGAGAGGATGCGCATGGTGCAGGGACGACTGGGATGGCCTAGTACCCTTGGCCCTTTAAACAGCCCTGTGGGTGGGGCCCTCACTCAGGGAAAGCAGGCTGACTGAATAGCAGGCTCTGTTTGCAGACCGCTGGTGGCCAAGCTTCCCTCCCCTGGACAGGAGTGAGCCCTGGTCTCCTCCACCCATGCCTCATCTATCATGGGTGCTGACAGCCAGGACAGACCCCACGTGGCCTTCTCACCCGCATCCGCATCTGCACCTTGGCCCTGGCACCAGGCCTGGGGGGCTCATGTATCCCCCAGCAGCTGGTGAGGGGGAGTAGCCCTCTAGGCCCAGCCCCAATAACAGCTGGGGACAGAGTCAGGGCCAGGCCATTGGGGGGGAGGGGGAAAAGTTGGAGAGGACCCAGGAAGAAATTACTGTGTTACCCTGGGAAGAAAAAGGGGCAAAGGGCCAAAGTGGTTACATATGGCTCAGTGCTATAATGTATCAATGAGAGCCTGTCTGAAGGGCTAGACTGTGATCTCAGCTAATCCTCAAAATGGAGCTTGCCTTGCAGGGTAGGTGACACACAGGGACAATTGCCACCTCAGTCTGTCCTCCTTGTTTCCCAAGGAGCTTCAGTCATTTTGCCCTAGCCCAGCTCCACAAACTCTAACTTGGCGAGTAGTATCTGGGGGTGCAGCCTCCTTAGGCACTCAGGATTGGGTAGGGACAGGAGCTGTCTGTGGAGGGGGTCTTGAAGGGCTAAGCGTGGTTTTCCATTCCTAGGGAGGTGGTAAATGAGTCTTGGAGCCAGGGGTGCTTGAGAGGAGGGGAGGCTAGGCCAACAGGAAAGGCAAGCCTGGGGGGCGTGTGGAGGGGCATCTGGACCCCAGCTGCCTCTTTCTTGAGTTTGGAGACCCCACTGAGCTGGCTGGTTTGGCACTGACTCAGTCACCAGCCCTGGAGTCCAGAGGGCCCATACCCTGTCTGTCTGCAGGCCTGTGCTCCTGGCAGCCAGCCTTCCAGCACCTCTGGCTGAGGTGTCAGCGTGCCAAGCTGGGCAGTCAGCAGGGTGGGGCCTTGGAGAGGGCCTATAGTAAGAATGGGCAGGCAGACAATGGGACTGTCTATGAGCCACCATACCTGTGGGGCCAGGATCACAAGCCAGAATGCTTGCAGGCACCCACAGGGACACCCCACTCGCCCCTAGTGGTGAGAGGATGAACCTCTACCTCTGTCCTCTCCCATCCACACACAGCACTGCATCTTGCTGCTTCCAGCTTCACCCTGATGGAGCCCCACCCAGGCCCACAACATCCCAACCTGGGGCACCAGCATCTCCACCACAGACCCACCTGTACATAAGGCCCAGCTTGACTCCCAGATGCCTACCTCTTGCTCTGAGGGTTGGAAGGGGAACCCACCTATGGCTGCTGGGAGGTGCTCAGGAGTGACCTCTGACCTCAACCACTTCCAGGAGAGCTTGGGCAGCTGGGGCAGTCTGTTCAAACTCCCCAGGGTGGGCTTCCTGCCGGCCATCTGCCACACTCCAAGGCTGCATTACATCATATAAAACCAGCTAAAAGAGTACGTTCATTGACAGGAAACTGCCAGAAGTTCAAGCGGGGTTTAGAAGAGGTTATGGCACCAGGGATTTCACTGCTGATGTCAGATAGATCATGACTGAAAGCAGAGTACCAGAAGAATGTCTATTTTTGCTTATTGACTATGCAAAGGCTTTGACTGTGTGGATCATAACAAACTATGGCTAACACTGAGAAGAACAGGAATCCCAGAACACTTGATTGTGCTCATGTGAGATCTGTACCTAGACCAAGAAACTGTTGTCTGAACAGAGCAAGGGAACACTGCATGGTTTAAAATCAGAAAATGCTTCACAATTGTATCCTTTCTCCATACCTACTCAATCTGTGTGTTGAGCAAATAATTCATGAAGATGAAGAGGAATGTGACCTCACGATCCGATCCAGAGGAAGACAACCTGCAGAATGCAGATGACACAACCTTACTTGCTGAGAGTGAGGAGGACTTGAAATGCTTACTGTGGAAGATCAAAGATTATAGACTTCAACATGGATTACATCATAACATTAAGAAAACAAAGGTCCTTACCACGGGACAATAGGCCAAAATATCACGAGAGATGGAGAAAGGATTGAATTTGTCAATGATTAAATCTTATTTGGACCCACTATCAACACCCTTGGTACCAGCAGTCAGAAGATCAGAAAGAGTATTGCTTTGGTAAATCTGCTTGTCAATGACATCTTCAGAATACTGTCAATTTGAATAATATCAGAATATTCAGAATAATATCACTTTGAAGCTTAAGGAGTGCCTAATTAAGGTTATGGTCTTCTCAATCACCTGCTATGAATCAGAGAGCTGGACATTGAATGAGGAGGACGGAAGAACTGATGCTTTTGAGCTGTGAGGTTGTAGCAGGGTGCTGACTGCCAAAAGAAGTATTGGAAAATGTATAGCCAAAGTGCTCCTTGGAGGCAAGGATCGTGAAGCTTCACCGCTTATACTCTGGACACGTTGCAATGAGAGGCTTGGGAAGGGAGATGGTACTTGGAAAGGTCAAAGTGAGGAAGACCCTCAGCCAGATGAATTGCCAGGGTGACTGTGGCAGTGGGTGGCAATGTGTCAGAGATGATGAGGACGATACAGGATAGGAAAGAGTTTACATCTGTTGATTATAGGATCATACTTGAGACATTCTCAGCTTAAAGGCACCTAACAATGATGACCACTAGGTACAGGAAGAAAGCCTCTGACCCCATCCACAGATGGGAGCCCAGCCCCAGCGACATGGCTCTGGTACCTAGGCGGGAGCTGGCAGTCCGACACTTGCAGTCCCTTCTCTCTACTATCCCAGCAGCGCTTGAGCAGCCTCGCTTGCCTCTGACACCTAGCTCCTCCTTGCTTGCCCTGCCAACAGTGCCTAAAGGGGCTGTTTCAGACCTAGAGTAGTTGGGGGCTCCCCCACATTAACCTAGACATACAGACATTCTCGGCTCACCCCAAGGGTGAAGCTGGCCCAGGAGAAGGCAAAAACCCAGGAGAGGCTAGGTGGGAGGTGCAGGCTGGGCGCCCACTTGGCCACCGCCAGCTGGAGTACAGAGTGCCCAGGGCACCTCCCAGCCATGCTGTGCAATGCCAGCCAGCCTGGGGCCTGTGGCCAGCTAGGGAGCACCCTGCAATTACACTACTCCCACCCCCAGGAGACCATTCTGCCATAGAGGGGGACAGGTCCAAAGGGGGCACATGGACCACTCAGGGCTGGGGAGCACTGGAGGAGTCCTGGTCTGGGCTGCCCTTTGTCCCCAGATAGCCAGGCTGGGGTGGGTAGAAGCAGCCTGTGAACAGCAGCAGCTTCGAGGGGCAGGTCCACGGGCCTACGGAGGGGAAAGAGCTGTTGGAGGTACAAGGCTGAAGCTGAGTGTGCTGTCCATGAAGGTACAGCCTATGGTGAGGGCAGTGGTTCTGGGCCAGCAATATTGTGAGGGCACGAATTTGGGGAGATGCTCATCTGCAGCCCCTCCCTCCAGCCAGGTAGACAGTCAGGTACTCCCCACAGAGCAAAGCTGACCCCTCTGCGTATCATCCCCCTATGTCCACCTGTCAATTATTACAGACAGTTGTGAAGGAGGCCTGGTGGAGTGGCAGTTAAAGCATTCAACTGTAAACAGAAAGGAAGACTGAGGCCAGCAGGCGCTCTGAGGGAGAAGGTGGGGTGATCTGCGCCCCTAATGCTGTGTGGCCTTGGGAACCTTCTGGGGAATTCTTTGTGCTACAGGGTCTCTGTGAGTTGATTGGAGATTGATTTTTCGGTTTATGAAAATATGGCATGTATATGTGCATAAGATACCTTTTATTGTTATGGGCCATCGATGACCCTCCAGCGGGTTTTCAGAGGCTGTAACTCACGTGAGAGGAGAATGCCCATCTTTCATCTGTGGAGCAGCTGGAGGATTCACACCATGTGAGTTGGCAGCTCCTTCCAACTAGGCCCTCAGAGTGTACAATAAAGTAGGCGTCTACCAAGCAAAACTCAGACAGTTGGCTGGAGGTGGAATGGGCATCACAGCGTGTGCTGAGCCCATGGCAGTCCTCTCCCCTTGCAAGGTCATCACCTTCTATGGGAAGCCAAACTTTATACCAAATATTATATGAAAACCCTTGTTCAGGAATTGAAGGAATTGCAGATATATAAATTAGGATTTCTCTTGTGGCAGATCCTAGAAAATGAGCTGTTTGTTCCCTGCAAGACAGGAGACAGCAAGGGGCCCCCTACAGAGGGAGTGTTACTTCCTGAGCTAGAGTTCACCCTGAGGCATCAAGGTTAATAGTTAAGGGTAAACCAAATTCTTGCATTTATGAACCCCTCCTTCCTGAGTCAAGCAGAAGGTTTTCAATAGAAAGAGATTGGCTTCATTTGCATTGAATTCTCTTGGTGATTTACTTCCTGATAATTTTCAATAAAGACACAGAAGCTTGGCTTGGGGTCTTCAGTCTAGAACTGCTGGCCCCTTGTTTTATGCTCTCTGCTTTATCACATTCCTGGCTGTTTGTCTCTTTATTAATAATTAAAAGATTATTCTATTCTTTGGGACCCTTGGTCTGCAACAACCTTCCACTTGGGGCATTATTTCCTTGTCATTCTTATTGTTTCTTTCCCCCCTTACATATCTTTTGATTGTTTTATTTTTCTTTTCCTTTCTGATGTTTTGTCTTTTTAAAAAAGTTTTATTTTATTAATTTTAATGACCCTATGCAGAGATTTTGGATTTCCATTCATTCATTGTTGCACTGTTTTCTCTACCGCCGCTTTCTGGTTTTTAAACTTCCTGTGTATTAGATGCAAATGTACAGAGCAACTTAGTTTTCCATCCAACAATTCACACACATTTGTTTCATGACGTTGCCTGCAATCCCCGCGGTGAAATGGCATGCTTCCCAATTCCTCCCTGTGATTCTCATTTCCAGTCATTCATGTAGCCTG